TTCCTATTTTGATAATTTATGTAAACTTCTTGCAAAAAATAAATTTCGTCCCAAAGTAAAATTTTAGTTAGGGGGGTCCGTCAACATCTTCCTTAAGCAATATGGGAGGTCAGAATTACTCTTAGGAACAACTTTCTCGCTGGTATGACTCTCACGTGCTTATATATGCTATCTCATTTTTTTATTGAGAATTCACTTTAATACCACTTTGTCATGCCTTGATTTTTGAGACATGATTAAATACAGTAATATAAAAACCTTATAAAATAAATTGGAAAACCTTATAAACTTAGAAAAACTGATTAATATTCCACCCCACTTCAATTAATATAAATATAACAACTTAAAGAAACATTGCCTTATATTTTTTTATAAGAAAAAAATAACTCCTTTACCAAACATTGATTAATCCAGATAGAATTTGTTCTCGAATTTAACGTTTCTGGGGATTGGGACAACAATATCGGTCGGTTGGAATGATCGCCCTATTGAGGTAGTGGTTGGAGGAAATAAATGCCATCTCCAAAAATACTCTTATTTACAGCTAATTCAAATCACAAGGACTCTTTAAAATGCTACTACAGCTAATTAAATGAGGCATGTCAAATTTATTGCGATTCAATGAATACTGTACCCTACAATTATTTCTCGTAATGACTTGTTCGTCGTCGCGTCTTCGGCCAGCACCACATCGGTGCCATTCATAGTGACATCATTGCTTTGTTTTGCAGGAAATGTCGCCGTTTCGGGTCACGTAAATTTTCACATCATCAACTGGTGGCGTATGTGGGAACGTATACTAAATTAAAAATCGTATTTGACTTTGCCAATGCTTGACAATCAAACTCAAGATTGGGGAACAACTGATAAAGATAATTTGAAATAGGATACTCCAAACAAGTATGATAAGATAATCCAACCGTCCCGTTCTCCACTTAAGAAATTAAATTAAAAATTACGAGCATATTGAGCAATTACCCCCACTGACAATGAACTTGATCTGTTCGCGAGGGCAATGCATTCACACACCACGCCTCAATTAAATTCATTATAATTATTTATTTATTTTTTATTCTCAATGAATTTCTACAACAAGCGTTCTATCTGTCTTCCCTATAATTTTCCAACATAATCAACAAGAGCTTAATGCTGCGACTTTAATGTTGCTCCCAAGTGCAGGATGTCGCGAAGTAATAATTCTCGGTAAGTCCGAGGTCGAACCACAGGGAAAACAATAATTTAAGTTGGAAGTAAGTAAAAAATAATTTTAAAAGGCTTTGAATAATTGGTTGGTTGATTGTAGAGAATTGATTTTGAGTAGAAATAATATTTAGAAAACACTAAGGTTTCAGAGATTCACACGTAACACATCAATGGTATTTGCTAACGATTTTATTTAATAACTCAATTGAGATTCATATAAAGAATATTGATCACAATCGCAAGATATTTATTTTATCCAATATATTTCTCAAAAGATGATTTCATAAAACTGACTGATTCATAAACTTGACAAAACCAGTAATTTAATTCGTAGGAATCCAAAGTACTCACCGTACTCATAGTCGATGATGTATCAAAGAATATACTAAGCATTCACTGTGCCTTAAGTCAACAATGAATCAGAGAATTATGTAAAATAAATACTTTTCCAAAATAGTAGAATCAATTCAATAATATGAAAACTTACATAAAATCCATAGAAAATCGTTAATCAAACACCATATCAATGTTGTGGTTTCACTTCTAGCCTTAGCAAAAAGGTTTAGCAATCTAAAATAAAACATAAAACTAAAAAATAATGATAATAACGTATCTTTGATATTCTGGACGTCTCCCCATATATAGATATGTTATAGGGTTTTCTCTAAGGAAAAGAAAATAGAAAATATTAAAAAAGAAAAATTGCTGAAATTTGTCTTCCATATTTGTGTTGACTTGCGCGCAGTCCCGTTTTGACCTGTTTGGAGTGCGAATTATGAAATTTTTATTAGACACAAAAACGACGGGCTTCAAGTCTTGCATCATTTGGAGTCTCGAGTCAAAAGTTATGACCAACACATTGAAGCGGGTTGAACTTTTTGCTCAAGTATTTTCCTTGTTTGAATATAAAAGCTTCATTTCTTCATGTAATGACCCAAAACGAATTTTGCTTACTGGATACTCTTTTAAAAGTCTTCTAAAATTATCTTTCAATGATCTTGGCCATTGAATTACCTTGGATACACTAGCTCTCGCGCTTTCCATCCGTCGATCGAACTTAGTGCACCATTGATCGATCGAGGTTGTGTAGGTTTCGAGCGAAAGCAAATTGACTTTCTAGATTTGATATTGTTCTTGGGTCGATCGATCGAGATTTTGGAGTACTTTGATCGATCCTCTCATTTTCTGCAAATTAAATTAAAATATTCAATTAGTAAATAATATGATGGGAAATATGATTATATAATTTTATGCATTAATATGATATTTTAACCAAGAAAATATTTAGCAATGGAAAAATGATATTTTCTTATATTTATATATATAATGTGAAAATTAATGGAATATAAATGTAATAATACCTACAAATACTATAATAATAATTCAATTTTAAGCTGTTATCACTTAAAAAGCACAAAAAGTCAATTCACCTGATTTGGAATTTAGATGAGAATTTCAAAATGAGGGAGAGGACTCACAAAATAATCAATTGTCTTCCATATGAGTTTATTATTTTTTTGTTTTGAATGATGAGAAATCATCTAGTTTGGGTACGTAGGTCAAATCTTAATTTGCCAATGAATGAGACTATATTAGTTGTAAATGATATTCTAATTGTTCAATAAGAAAAACATTAATATCATCCCTTGCATGTGTGCTTAAGAAATATAATTATTGGAATGAAAATTCAACTTCTTATTTGTATATAATCAACATATTTTTAAAAAAAATATATTGAGATGTCTATGCTTCTTAAACCCACTGTAATGAATGAGCAAACATGGCCATAAAAAGAATCTTATAGTTTTGTATAGAGTCATTCAACCTTGTTTGCTTGCCTGTGACAAGTGTTGAATATTGCACATTCAAGCCCTTAAAGTTGCATATGTTAACACTTTAGGAATGTTTACATATTGATTCTTTCGTTAATTACTTGGTTTCGGCTATTTTCAGGTACTTATCGTCAAAACCAGTCAATTCTACTTATTTCAAGCCTTTAATGATGTTTCCAAGGATCGAGAGAAGTTTGGGGATGATTCAGGGCTCAAGGAGCATGAGAAGGTGAAATCCATGAAGCTAGGATAGATCCTAATCACTCTAGCAAATTTGACTAATATATTGCAACCTTTGCCAAATTGTATAATTAAATTCACTGCTAGGGCTATGATCAATCGTAGCTGGGCTATGAAACATCGTAATGCAACCCACCTACGATCGATCCTAAGTGCATTAGATACAAATCCTGAAAGTTGTGGGAATTGCATGTTTTGATCTCTTCTTACTATATATGGGCCGAACTTCATCAAAAGTTTATGGTTGACATTCAAGGCCCGTTCTAGAGTTAATTTAGGGTAAGATTATCACAATTGAGAGGGGGTTACACAAGTTTTAGAGAGAGAGAGAGATTGACGGCTAAGGGTTTTTCATTGTTGTTGAGTTTCGAAGGTTGAAGAAGGTGATTCCGATCAGAATTTGCAATCCATGGAAAGGTGTTCATCACATCATTGAAGCTTCTACCTTCTCCATGAGTAGCTAAATATGTCCTTGGGGAATTGATGTAACTCTATCCAAGTAACATGGTCTAATTACAATTATATTTGGGAAATGTTTTTGGTTATGTATGATTATGATTGCATTGTTTGAGAATTAACTTAGTTGTACTAAGCAATTGAATTTAATGTTAATATTCAATTTTAATAGAATCATGATCTTGTTTTGGAATTGGTTTTATTATTATTGAACTCATATTACTTTTATTTTCTGTGATTATGGAAGTAATTAATAATCATACAATGGTTTTAATTGAATATGTATGTAAACTAGGGTTTTGATAGTTCATGCTTAGGAAAGACAAGTTCTACTATACCTTAGTTTAGAGTAGTTAGGTAGACAATTTGTGTCAACTGAAGATGATTTATACTTAACGCTTGATTATATATATCCTCTTAATTGAACCAAGGTGAGCTTGTAGCCACATGGTTAGTAATCATACGTATAAAGAATTTTCTAGATTTAATAAAGTTGACCATTGTTACGAAGTTAGTAGTAAAGTAAATTCCCTAAGCCTCTTCTCCCTGAGATTTCCTATCATTCAACTTAGTCTAATTTCAACTTTCCTTTCATTACAATTAGAAGTAGAAAAACAACCAAACAATCTCTTTTGTTGAATCAAATTGGGAAAATTTTTTATACTTAGCAATCTACTACAATCCTTGAGATTTGACACCCTTAACATAGCCCTATCCTATAAGGATTCATTCTATTGCGAGTGGTTTATCATTGAGAAAACACACAATCAGCTTGCCTTGTGGTCATGTTCATTTTATGCTGATGCTATAATGCTCCAAGTAAGATGAGTATTTACAATTCAATATCATAAAGACTTAAAAGGGCCTGTTGGCAATCGCTTTTGTTTCAAATTTTTTTGTTGCAAATTGTGTACTGTAACAAAGCAAAACATGAAAACGAGTTTGATAATCTTCGTTTTGATTTGAATAGTTGCTTCTGGAAAAGAGGCCAAAATTGAAGACACCAAATCGATGTTTCGTGTTGTTCCCTGATATTTCCTAATGTTTTTGCTCTGTAGTAACAACACTGTAGTGATGAAAAAAATAAAATAAAAAAGAACTCTTATTGAACTTTTTAACAAGTCATTTTATTTTTCAAACATACAACACTTTTTTATCAACACATATTTTTCATTATTTTGTTTCTAAAAATTTTACATTACCAAACGTCACTATTAAACACACTCCACAAAAAAATTATATTATTTCTATTTCGAATGAAAACAAAAATGATTCCAAATAGACCCTTATATATTATTATCTTCTCCCAAGAGGAATACACAACAGTTTCTTTTAAAGTACAATGAAATTACAAACTGACAGAAGCTGTCAATAGGTGCTCTATCTTATTCATTATGGATTATTGCTTATAGCATCACACAACACACATTCTTAAGAGAGAGAGAAGTAGGAAACTATGTCTTGACATATAATGGTCAAAACTCAAATGTCCAGAGGGGGCTTGAAGCCACCAAACTCCAGAGGGGGTTTGAAGCCCAAGTCAAGACCCCAGAGGGTAAAAGTTCCCTTCACAAAATCATAGTATCCACCCATCAATTGTACTTTTTTGTTCGCTACTCCATCTCTCACATATGGATAAGTTAATAGGTTCACCAATGACAAATTCACCGCCTCCTGCAAAATTGATGATATTCACACACATTATTAGTACATTATATATATATATATTAAACATCATAGAATCCTTTGAAATCCAATAGTGTTTGAAAAGGGTTTGTGTGAAAAAAGGTTTATAGATAAATCATCTTTTCTTTTTAATCTTTCTTTGCTAACGTGCTGTTTGATAACTCAATTCAATTTTTAGATTAAACGTTTATTCAATTAATTATATTTGATAACGCAATTTGAATATCACTAAAAATAGTAAACGCCACTTATCACTGAATGTTGAAATTTTAAATGAAAGCGTCATCACTTATCACTAAATGTTGAAATTTTAAGGTTGAAATTTTAAGTGAAAGGGTTATCACTTATCACTGAATATTGAACCCTGAATTTTTTTTTAAAAAATAGTAAGAAATATTTATTTTTAATTATCACTTAAAAACTTGAGCACTTAAATTCAACTCTTATTTTATTAAACAACATCTAAGAGTATATTTGGCAACTGTTTGTTCTTTAAACAAATGGCAGAAGCATGTTTGGTAGCTTTGCTAACATTAATTGTCTCATTTGCTTGAAAAAAAAAAAAAAAACCAAAATATGGAAGAAAAAATTGTTTTTACAATTGTCAAACTGATATTATTATTAGTGTATAAAAATGTCTGTGAAGTATAATAAGATTGGTGCCAAAAGGGTAAATGGGTTAAAATTGAGATTTACCCTTTCACAAATCTGGCATTGTTCCTCAAATGATAAATCACTAAACTCTGATAACACCTTGGCCTTGGCAGGTAAACCAATTTTGACCCAGTCATGTACAAAGTCACTGCACATCACAATCAAAAATAAAAAAAAAGGAAAACAAAAAAGGTCATTAGAGAACTTGAAAGGTCAATGAGAAATGGAAAGAACATGCGTAAATCAGAAAAACAAACACATGCATAAAATTGCAACTATCTATTGAAGCCACACCAATGTGTGACAAGCCTTACTTAGAAGTTGTTCCATCACTAGGAAGAGACATAAGACCTGCAATTCCACCACAACGACTGTGTCCTATGACCAAAATGACCTCCACCTATAAAATTTGCCATTATATTAAGAGACTCAGTCATTCTTCTAGAACAACGTGAAAATAAATAAAAGAGGAATATTTTTTTTGGAAAAATATTGATTGAAATTTCGAAGTGACCTGAAGAACTGTTACTGCGTATTCAATGACTGCACCAACTCCAGAATATCTAAGCTGTGTAGTGAAATAGACATTCCCACATTATCAATTAGATATAAAGTTGTATTGAAAAATATAAACTATTGAATCAATTTTAATAATCTTGTTGCTGGACTGTTTGTAAAACCTGGTTAAATTCAGGGACCATATTAGCAATGTTCCGTGACATGAAGGCTTCCCCTGGTCGGAAGTTTAGGATATGAGAAGGGCAAACTCGAGAATCAGAGCATGCAAACACCAGAAACTGCAACGAAAATTCATACAAAATTTCAATAAATTAATCATTATAAAGAACAAGTTGTTTCAATTTTATTTGTTTTAGGGTAATGGTAAGATTGGAACTCATAATATAGTCTGCTCTGACACAATGCATATCAACTACCATTTACTCAAAAAAGAAAGTTATATAAGAGTGTGTAAGTTTAATACTTATATTTCTAACACATACTGACCTTATTAAGTTTAGAATATTATAATTAACAGAACTCCAAAAAAATAATAATAATAATAATAATAATAATAATAATGGTCACAAACAAAATCATTACCTTGGGGCTCTGGCCTTCTGCAAGTTGATTGTAATAATCTGGATCTTTGCTGCAAAACTCACCAAGATTCTCAGGCAATAAGTAGGTAAAACAATTTATTTATAAATAGGATTAATATAAATTATAGGTGCAATCAAATTCTTTTTGCAAGCCATCTGATTCGTTTAATATTACAGTTTTTAATTAATAGTAAATATAGTAAATCAGATGATCAAAATTCTTTATAGGACTGCACATTTGGTTTGCTTCATAGCTATCTTGTTGTGATAGTAGTAGACAAGAAATATATATATATATATATATATATATATATATATATATATATAGTTGTCATTAACTGTTGTTAACATACTCGAATTCGTTGTCTTTGAATTGCATAAACCCTGTTTTAATCCTCTCAATTGCATAAAACTCGTCCGTAGTGGTCCCATTCTCAGCTCTGGTCTTATCAATGTAATCCAAGTTTTCTTCCTCTCTGCAATCCAAAAAATTAGTCAAAATTTTAATAATAGCATGAGGATAAAGTCAATTTTTTTTTTTTTTTTTTTTTCCAAGGGAGGAAAAAAGAAGAAGATAATATTAATCATAACAGAAAATAAAAGAATTTGGAAGGAAGTGTTAACCTCAAATTGCATTTCTTTATTAAAAAAAAAAAAAAATGAAAACCTTGAACCGTATTTGGAAAAAATTATAGGAAGAAAAGAAAGGAACGGATTAATCTTTACAGTTTTTTAACGAATTAATATACATATATATATATATTTTAAATAGCTCTCAAGAATTCGGAAATCCATTTTAAAAAAATTATAGTTCTTTGAAAATAGACTTTTTTTTAAATCAAATTTGCAGAAAACAGTTTTCAGAAACTATCAATCAGTTTTAGTAATATTTATATTTTTAGTTCTCAAAAAATAAAAAACTGAACCGAAAAAGGCTTGAACATTCCTCCAAATCTTTCTGTTTATTTCCCTCCCATTTCCATCAATCCACCCTTATAAGTATAATTGTAACTTTTTTCTTTGTTTGAGCACCGGGGAGATCGATAATTGCGATTCCTCATAAGAGCTGACGATTTTGAAACAAAAAATCCAATTAGTTATGACTGTTAAGTGAAATTTTGAAAAGAGAAAAAACCTGACAAGACTCTTCATTTCCGCAATAGCCACCTCACTTGAATGCTCAGCCATTTGTATCTGCAAATTTCCATAATAAAAAACTCTATTAAGATGAAAATTAGAAAAGAAATAAACTACAGTAAATGGCGCGAGCTTAGTGAGAGCACTCCACTATATTTGTTGACTTGCTCTAGAGAAAAAATAAAATAAAATAAAATAAAAAACCTCGTACGTGTGTAACCAACCATCTTTTAAAAATCAAAAGAAAGAATCTACTTAGAAATATAGATGAAATATTTCGAATAAAATATCAACCCTACACAACTTTAGTAGTATGGTGCAATTATATATTATGAGGAAATAAATAAAATTCAAAACATACTTACCCAAAAAAAAAAAAAAAAAAATTCGAAAGATTTTCATAGAATAAGCTATACAAGTATATAGTAGGAATTTAATAAAATGTTGAGATGAATGTGGCAGATATGAGACACGTAAATATATATATATATATATATATATATATATAAAGCTAGATTATATGGTTGAATAAATCACAACACTCACAATCTTGTGATAGACGGTTTATGCAGATCTCAGCCATGCTAGGATTGCTATTTATAGGCCCATGTATGCATGGTTGTGTTCCATTGATCATTATTATGAACACCAAAATCATTTTGCACGATAGAAACGATAAAACTGTATATATATATATATATATATATATATATATATATTGTCGTGTTGTACAAAGACCATGTTCACACGGAATCATCATACAGTACTATAATATTACCCACAGAATAGAAATTACAGTTCTCTGAGTCACGTTTTTATTGCTCTTGTTTAAGCTAAGACGTTTGTTCTTTTGATCTAAATGCTCCATCAATAATAATAGTTCATATCCATCTTGCTGTCAATTATTGCTTATGTGGCTAAAATTTTGTTGTATTAAAGAATGAAATAAGAAAATGGTGAGGGTTGTCTCACCGGAGCGTAATTATTATTTTTAATTTATGTTCCGTTTTGTTGGAGAGATGGATTGGGTAGGGATTAAAACTTTGCAGTCGGGCATCAGTCACAATAACAAGCCGCAGTCGCTGTGTAATGGACTTGGACAAGTATCAGTGTTTATGCTCTGTTTTGTTGGAGGAATGGATTGAGTAGGGATTAAGGTTCTAATGGACTTAGGCATAAGTGTTTTTGCTCCGTCTGGTTGGAGGGATGCAAAATTTATTATATTTTATATTTTGTAACCTTAAAGACATTAGCATCATTTTGCCGACTTTTGGATATTTTCTGAAAAACAATAACAGTAGCATCGTTTTGCCGGCTTGGTTGGATAGTTTTTGGAAAAGCAATTTAGGTACCTTTTCAAAGTTTTTTCTTACCATGCAATTACTGATGCTATTTTTTTTTTTTAAATTCGAATTTTTGATGCCAATATAAGTTTATAAAAAGAATGTTTTGTTATACTGAACAACTACAGGGTGGAAAATTAATTCTCCTATAGTTTCTTGTTTCACTTTAAAGTCAGAGAAATGTCAATAATGAGCAAATATTGGTAAAAAAAATCTCTATTTTCCTTCCTTCCAATTCAAAAAAAAAAAAAAAAAAAAAAAAAAAGTATCATTCTATCCATCATTTGTCGTATTCATTTTATTCAACCAATCAAGAAGGACATGAGTTAACTTGATGTAGAACTGATTGCTGAAGCCTTTATGACTCGTTTGGACTGCTAGGGAGCCAAACGGGCATATTGACAGATTTTTTGAGCTGATCTCGAAGTGTGCGTTTTTTTACCCGACAGGAGAGTTTTTTTTAACTAAAAACGGCCCAACGAACAACACACAAAGCTATGCCGTGATGTAAGGTGTTCTTCGGTAAAATACCATCGTTTAGTACCTCAAAACGAGATTATTCGGTCCGAATAAAGCCTATCGAATATTTAGGATTTTTGTTCGTTGTCTAAACGAACTCGAATTGCATTCATATTTTATATTTAGTAGCTTTATTTTATTAGGTATCTTTCTCTATTTTTCCAGAATTTGTAGAGAAATTTTATTTTTAGACTTATTTTCGGGTTTTAGTATCTTTCTAGATTTGTTTTCCTTATGTTACAAGGATTCAATTTGCAGTTAGTTTCATTTTCAATTAGGATTTTCTTTTATTGTAAATATGTGTAATTCAGATATCAGAATCATTAATTCAATTATTAAATAAGATATCAGATTTATTTTAATTATCTGTTTGTTTTGTGAATTTAAAACATCCACCTTGTGAATTCAAAGTAACATATTCATTCACTTTTGCTTACGTCAGAGCTTTTCTTTCTTAAAAATGCATTATCCATCCATTCCGTTCCATCTATATTTTCATTCTTCTAACCAAACGGTGCGAATGACTGATGGTTAGGTCACCTCGTGCATGATAGACGTGTATTTTAACATAAATAAAGAAGTCGTTGAGTTTATCCATTTGAATGCATGACCAAAGTTTCTCATTCATAATTATCATGGTCACTTTCATGTCAAATGTTTAAATCATCCTCAATCAAGCTTATTGGTTCTTAATTAATTTTTTTATTTTTTATTTTTTATTTTGTAATAAGGTCCATGTCTTACCATTTAAATAAGCAAGTGATAAAACAAATAATTAAGTGGCCGGGTTTTACATATTATTTTTCACAACTATCTTGTGGGATTGTTTTTAAATTGAACGAGGAATCTACGGTGAATGGTTATGACAAGAACTTGGCATGAAATCTTACGAAAAAAAAAAAAAAACACTTTGAATGATTGTCCAAAAAGTAGCGATTTTTTAAAAATCACACATCTAAGAGTTGAGCTTTGAGCAAATGACATTATCTATTCCTCTAAGTATATATAAAAAGTTACTTACCGAATATATATATATATATATATATATATAACAAGTTTACATCTGAAAAGGGGTTGGGTTCTTTCTTGAATCTTTGGTTCAAATGGTAGGTATGACCTTGGGCTTGATAATTGGGTACATCAGTGAAACACGTGAAAATAGTGTTGAAAGTTTCACATTAAGAAACAAAACAACGTACACATTTTTAGTCTTAACTTTTCGATTCAATGTCTAGGTTCTTAGGTTTGATAATTAGGTATCTAGACTTGTGAAACACGTTACAATAGTGTTGAACGGTTCATGGAAATAAGTATAGTCAGAATTTTACCCAGTTTGTGTAAGAGTGTTTTGTATGAGTTCCATGAATTAATTGAAACAAAGACCTAGGCATTCAAGAAAAATATATATAATGGATTAAAGAATTGCCTCACCAAGATTTAATTTTTGTTTTTTAGGCAATTAAGGTATAAATAAAAAAGATAAGAGGACATGGATCAAGCATCTCTAAGTCAATCTCTAATGAGTAGAGTAGAGGTACATGTTTTTCAAAGGGAAGGAAATGAATGATCGATATTATTATTTTCTCACTTTATCAATTGTTAATATATATATATATATACACACACACACACACATGTGCACACTTGAATATTGATAGAATCTTTTCTATTTTATCAAATATATATATATAAAAGATAAGAGGACATGGAACAAGCATCTCTAAGTCAATCTCTAACGAGTAGAGTAGAGGTACATGTTTTTCAAAGGGAAGGAAATGAATGATCGATATTATTATTTTCTCACTTTATCAATTGTTAATATATATATATACACACACACACACACATGTGCACACTTGAATATTGATAGAATCTTTTCTATTTTATCAAATATATATATATATATATACACACACACACACACACATGTGCACACTTGAATATTGATAGAATCTTTTCTATTTTATCAAATATATATATATATATATATATATTTTTGACAAGAAATTTACGCATGCTATATGTATATGGATTAAGGTACGTGTGTCGGATACAATTATGTATCCATACTTCGAACTTGTCTAATCGCTAATAAGAAGGGCACTCTTGATTATTCATTTTATTTAACAAGTTTATTTTATTTTCTAGAGTTAAGTATATTTTTTTATCTACTATAGTATTCAATACTGGCTTTTAACTCATTTTAAAGTAATAATATAATATAATTAAACAATTAAATATGCATTTTAAGTACATGTCTAATAAAAAATGTAGAATACATATTTCATACCTATATCCAAGCAATATGTGTCCAAAGCTACTTTACTACTTTGAAAGCAAAATTATTGGTATGAAAGGATGCTTCATTTATACTCGTGACATCCTTCCCCCTTTCCTTTCTCCATTGCCAAATAATGGATAATTGCTTGGTTACCCCATTGAGTAAACCTGTCAATGGAGTAGATCCTGATCCGGATTCGATCTGAATCTATTTCGATTAGTCAAATATGGATTAAACAAAAAATCTGATAACCCGATTACGATCCGAATTTGATAATTCGTTAACTTAACAAATCGAATATGGATTATGCTGATCCGATCCAATTAAAATTATATATATTAATAATTATATATATAATTATTTATTAATAATTTTACATATATATATATATATATATACATACTTCTATTAGAATTGTATTAGAGGTAACCCAAAAATAAAAAATAAAAAAAATCATAATATTATATATACAATAGTATGGTGTTCTCATACACGTGCTAATAAATCTCTTAATATACATACTAATAATATTATACTCTTTATTTATTAACAAAGAGTAAATAAATTTTTTATTTTATTTTCCTTTCATATTAGAGTAAATAATTTTTTTTTTGGTTTCCTTTCATATTTTACTTATCTTTTATTTTATATATTTTTCTTATAATCATTGCTTTTTTTAATTCTTTGTTGACACACACACACACACATATATATATATAACCTACATTTTTATCGGATCGGATTATTGAATCGAATATCCATTTGTTAACAAATCAGATTCAAATTAACTTACAAAATATCAATCGGATTATCGAATCGGATCGGATTGACTAAAATGCTTATTGAATTCAGATCGAATCAGGCCTGATATAGTCCGAATCCGATCCATAGGTCTACTATTGAGCCTCCCTCTTTGTTAGAGATCAATAATATCAACTGATAATCATTGAACCAAAAGTTTATATTTGATAAGTCATCAAATCAAAAAGTTGTACCCCTTATTAATCAAACCTTATGTCTTTAAGTAAAACCATAGGAATATCTAGCGGTGAGAAGGTTAGACACGATTTGTCAATATAACTCAAACACGACACGAGTTAAACAGATTTGGGTTGACCTTAAATGAATTTAAATTATAAAAGGGTTGACATGATTAACCTGTTTAGTTACTCGTGTCGTGTTTAGATTGAAGTAATTTAACCCACATAACCCGTTAATACCTGTTTAACTCTGCGTGTCATAAACAAATTTATATTTAAATTTCAAAATAACTATTTAAACTTGTTTCTTATAATTATTTACTCTTTTGTAAACTAAACACTATTTAATAATTTGGTTGAATTGAAACTTATATTTTTTTTTTCATATTTATTATTTGATTGAATATTATTAATAATTTAACTAATATAAGTTTTTATTTTAATAAA